ACAATGCAGTTGTAAAGTGTAATTGTAATGACGTAGATGTCATTGAGCTCAGGTTTTTTGTAACATGCTGACTGTGGTATTCTTAAAGTCTACATATCTTAAAGTTGATAAATTTGAAAAAAAAATATTGAAAGCTGATGCCATAATACATAATGAGGGACATCTGAGACCTTTATGTGATGTATATCAAAAGTAAGAGAAGCTGGCTAGAGAAAAGTAGCAATAGGAAGTTGACTATTGTGTACGGCTAGGGAACCTGGCACACTCAAAGTTGTAGTTCAGGAACTGATTACATCTTCCAGAATCCCTCACCATTGGACACACAAATTGCAACTTGTCAGTGTTAGCAACATTTAGGAAGGCATGATGCAAGCCAGTAAAATTTGTGAATTGAAAGATTTACCATTCTGTCCTTCATTTATTAGAATGTTTAAACCTGGGTCTATGGTTAAGGGCTTTATCATTACAGAGTGTCATTTCAGGTCCACTGCAGGTTATTTCCATGCTCAGCAGTTAAAGATATTGAGTTGTCACCTGGAAAGCTGAGAGCCCAGGTTCAAAACCCAAGCACCTTTGCCCCAGCTCCTGCCCACCTAGCAATTTAAAAACATGCAAATGCAAGTAGATTAATAGGTACCACTTTGGTGGGAAGGTAACAGTATTCTGTGTGTCTTTGGCATATAGTCATGCTGGCCACAGGACCACAGAAAATGTGTTCGGACAATGTTGGCTCCCTCAGCCAAGAAATGGAGATGAACACCACGCCCAAGAGTCAGACACAACTGGAAGAGAAACCTATATCTTTACCTTTGCAAATAAGCAAAAACATTTAACTTTATTTCAGGTGTATGTTTGCCACAAGTTACTCAAAGAAGACAGGAAGAATACATCAGACTAGATTAGCTGAGCATCCTGCAGCATCTATCACTTGACAAGTGCATAGTTTAGTCTAAAAAGAGATTTTGTGTGTGTGCCTATAATGATAAGAAGTAGAAAAATGCAAATGAAATTCAACAACTCAAAATCAGGTGAGTCTTTAGTGACAGTTAGTCACAGTTTCTTATTTTATGTTTATAAGGATAGAAGAATCAAAGTCATATGTAAAGAGCCTATTATAATAACGATGCAGGGATGTCAGCCAACAACTTCTGTCAGGTTCTTAAGACAGAAAATAGGGCAGGGAGGGAGGGGAGGGAGGGAGAAGGAAAGAGGGAGGGAGGGAGGGAGGGAGGAAGGAAGGAAGGAAGAAAGAAAGGAAGGAAGGAAGGAAGGAATTTTACTGGGAATCAGGATAGCAACAGAAATACAAGCTTGTTTTCTTTTATTAAGTTTTATTAAGTATTTACATTGCAGTAGTAAAAATGAATACATACCAAAATTAAAAAAGAAGAAAAGACTAGTGAGAAAAACAGTGTAAGAAAGAAAGAAAAAACAGAAGAAAGAATATGATAAAAGAAAAATGTTACTTCCCACCTTCATTATAAGTATACAAATTAATACCTCTATCTCCCCTATAAAGTTGCAGATATATCTTCATCCTTATCCCATCCCTTATCTATAAGCAAATTTATAAAACATCTAATTTTTAATCCTAGTATCAGTAAAAAGTCTGTAATTTTTGTCAGAACTTAGTTGCTCTTTTTTTTGCACTTTTTCCAAAGTTTCAACATCTTTTTTGTAATGTGGTGACCAAAAGTTAATGCAGGATTCAGGTGTGGTCTTACTTAGGATTTATAAAGTGGTACTACTTCACATGGTTTTGATTTCATGCCTCTGTTTATACAACCATGGATTATATTAGCTGTTTTGGCTGCCACCGCACACTGCTGGCTTATGCTTAAGTGATCTTCCACTAGGACTCCAAGGTCCCTCTTACAGTGGCCCGGTTTCATCTAATCTGTACTTGTATCTTTGTTTTTTCCTGCCTAGGTGTAAAACCTTGCTTTTCTCCAAATTAAATGTAATGTTATTGGATATGGACCACTGTTCAAGTCTGTTAAGATCTTTTTGGATCCCGAGCTTGTCTTCTGGGGTGTTGACTATTTCTGCCAGTTCAATCTCATCTGCAATTAGTCATGGAATATTTAGATTTACAGGGGATGGGAGACAGTAAGAGATGTTTCTGAAACAAAGTATTTTGAAATTATTAGAAATGTGGGACTCTGGCACAGAATTCAACAAAGAATCCTTTGAGCAAAGGCAAGGATATAAGTATTGATAGAAAGGCTGGTGTTAAAACAAAAGAGAGGGCACTAAAACAACATCATTAGTATGTACATCTATACAATTTCTAAGTGCTTGGTGTTCAGATTTCATGTTTCGTTCATGGTAGCAGCTAGGAAACTTGCAATTTGCTTTTTTTAAGGAAAACATTTTTTCCTGGGGAGAAGAGAGAAAGAGATGCATTATTATAATTGCTATTTTTCCAAGGCCAGCTGCTGTCATGAATACCAGAATGGTATAGTAGAGACATCTTCTGGTTAAAATGGGAAAAGCTTCAAAGTAATTCATGAGAATTCTACTAAGAGAGTGACATCATTTTTGTATGGTAACAAATAATACTGGAAGAAGATTACATTATTTTCAAAAAGTGCACCATGAAAATGGCATAACTGGTTCTAACGTATTGGTTTTCTATGTGCAATGGAGTCGTTTTCATATATTTTTGTATTCCAGACTTAAACGACATGGCACATTTGCTAACGAGCTTCATTGCATGCAACAAGATTTTTCCCACAGTTGTTCTAAAGCATTTTTCTATGGCTCATAACCAATAGTTTTAGAAACTAATTATTCATGGTTTACCACTGCAAATATACAGATATTCAAGCTATTCAATCCTACCTTTGAATGGATCATATTGTCTTCATTCTTCTGTATATGTGCATAGAATGTAGGCTTTTTACAGTGAAATGAGGCTTTGAAATCAGCCTTAGTATTGCCAGGCAACTAAGGAATCAGCCAAGGGTAAATCTGAAAAGTAATGATAGTTTAAAGCCATCATATATTCAATATGTCATTGAATAAGAAAGCCTGATGACAGATAATGATAGCTATTGTAATAGGAGAAGTTCCACTTTTGTGTCCATGTTATATTATTATGCTTTTGTCAAACTTACAATAGTTAGAAATGTTTTAAAAAAAATTACTTTGGTTTATGATGTCTTGAACTACACTGGAAATGTAAAACTAGAAGCATGCAAATTCTCTGATTCAAGTGGTAAAAATAAGGCCCAATTAATAATACTTGAACGCCAGTGTTTTTAGTGGTAAGGATGCAGTAAATTTTTAACATATTTTTAAATATACATGTTGGTGCAGATGTTTGATCATACAATAATTATTCTACATACTATGGATATTTTGCATCATACTCAATAAGGTATTTAGAATAATTATTCCTAAGTTTCCATAAAATTGTGTGTATGTGTGTGTGTGTTTCATTCTATTAATGTACAATGTCTTCTCAGATCTGCAAAAGCTTCAGTACTTACTGAACTGTGATAAAGGTTAGGTGATCTTAAAGTTTTTATCTGGTAATTAATCTGTTTTAAAGGGCTCTATAAGATTTATGTATTTATACATTCATTTATTAGAAGTATATTTCCATTTGTAGTGGAGATCAAAGCAGGATACATAGTTTGTCTTCCCCTTCATTGGGGTGAGAGACACTGGCAGCTCCATAGAAGATACAACGTTAATGTAGATGGGATAGGCTCACCGGAAATAAATGAATAAATAAATAAATAATAGTCTAATTTAACATCATTTTATCAAAAGTTAAAGTAGAAAAATGCAAAAGATCCCAACCTGTTAATATTCCATTTTTATGTTATTAAGTAACACATAATATTGCAATCTATATATATTGCATTCATCTGAGCTTCTTTTCGTATTTTACCCGGAGACAGCTCATTCATAAATCTCTTTTTACTTTTAAACAAGATTACTGATGTAGTTTTTAATGAAGTTATTAAAAACATAACTTCATAAAATCTTATACAGCAATTGCTAAACTGTAAGTACCATTAAGTACTAAGATTAAGTCCATGGAAATATTCAGCACTACAATTGTGGACAGCTCAATCAAACATCTCTGTTTTTCTTTTTAGCATTAATAATGAACTTTGCATCTTACAGATTTGTCATTACTTTTCATGTTAAGTTAAACGTTTTAAAATTAGAAGTGCAGCCAACAACATTTAAATGGCAATTCCTAAAAAACTCAGTCTGCCTCTAAAATAATAATTATCATGTTAATTTTGGTTTGTGGCAATATTTTCTATTTAAAAAAGTTGTATCTTTTAATATTCCTATTAAGATTATATTAGAATGATGCAGAAGTCATAGTAGATTATAAACAGCCTTCATTAAAGTGATTTCTTTGACATCTTATACTTCCACCTCTGGCCAATGTAGCCATGTACACAAAACAAATTTCCAGGCTTCCCTGCAAACTGACTCTCAACTTGCTTTTGAAAGATGAAGCTTAGTCAGTATGTTTGTAATTAAAGATATGTCCAGTATGCATTTAACAGAACAAATTCAATTTGCTTCTTTTGTTACATCAAACATTTACTGGGCACTTAATTTAGGATAACAATTAGGAAAAAAATCTCATCTGTCTATGAATTGGGAGTTGTGGTCTAATGTGCTATTCTTAGAAAGCAGCTGATTGAAAAAAATGCTGAACTGTATAATCTAATTAAGCGTCTGGAATAATTTGAGTTGTATTAATATATCTTATTCCCAAATATTCCCTTTGAAATTATTTAGGATAGCCTTGTCATATAAATTAGGTTTTCAGTGGAACTATTACTATGGATCAGCACTTCAGATGAATTAGTTAGGGGTACTGGCAATTGACCAGCATACCTTACTGCAGTGAGTCAAGAACAACAGCCTGTAATTCTGTTATTGTGCTATTTCTTTGGTTGAAATGTAAGCATTATTTGTTATTTGTTAACCACAGTTTTCTTATTTATCTTTCTTTTTAACAGATTTTGGCCATTGTATCCATATTGTTCATTGTACTATCCACCATTGCTTTGTCACTCAACACTCTACCTGAGCTTCAAGTAATTGATGAATTTGGACAACCAAATGACAATCCTCAGCTTGCACATGTTGAAGCAGTGTGTATAGCATGGTTCACTATGGAGTACCTTTTGCGTTTTCTGTCCTCTCCAAGCAAATGGAAGTTCTTCAAAGGTCCATTAAACGTGATTGATTTGCTAGCCATTTTGCCCTATTACGTCACTATTTTCCTCACAGAGTCCAACAGAAGTGTGCTGCAGTTTCAAAATGTCCGCCGTGTAGTTCAGATATTCCGTATCATGAGGATACTGCGGATCCTTAAACTTGCTAGACATTCAACTGGACTTCAATCTTTAGGATTTACCTTACGAAGGAGTTATAATGAATTGGGTTTATTGATACTATTTTTAGCTATGGGAATTATGATATTTTCCAGTCTCGTGTTTTTTGCTGAAAAAGATGAAGATGCTACAAAGTTTACAAGTATTCCTGCATCATTCTGGTGGGCTACCATCACTATGACCACAGTAGGTTATGGTGACATTTATCCCAAAACTTTACTAGGTAAAATAGTTGGTGGATTGTGTTGCATTGCTGGAGTGCTGGTAATAGCCCTCCCCATTCCCATCATAGTAAACAACTTCTCAGAGTTCTACAAGGAACAAAAGCGGCAGGAGAAAGCTATTAAAAGAAGGGAGGCGCTTGAACGAGCAAAGAGAAATGGAAGCATTATCTCAATGAATTTAAAAGATGTCTTTGCTCGCAGTATGGAACTGATTGATGTAGCTGTTGATACTGATAAAACTGAGGAAGCAGCCAATTCAAAGGAAACTCCCGATGACAACCACTTGTCTCCAAGCCATTGGAAATGGGCCAGAAGGACCATGTCTGAGACAAGTTCTAATAAATCCTCGGAGAACAAATACCAGGAAGTGAGCCAGCAAGATTCACATGAACAGCTAAACAACACAGCAGCAACCTCCAGTCCTCAACACTTGAGTGCTCAGAAACTTGAAATATTATATAATGAAATTACAAAAACTCAGTCTCAGCCTAATCTGAATTCCACCTACCAATGCCCTTCAGTGAAACCTCCCCTCTATGAGGAGGAGATAGAAATGGAAGAAGTTACTGGACAAGGAGATGCATCTATAACAGGACCCAAAGAAGTCATTCCTGATATGAGAAGCACTTCTAGCATTGACAGCTTTGCCAGCTGCGCCACTGATTTCACAGAGACGGAACGGTCACCTCTTCCTCCATATTCCAGTTCTCATTTGCAACTAAGATTTCCCATTGAGTTTTCCCACTTAGAAGACCAAACAGCAAAAGATTCCCAGCTTTTACCATTTATGAAAGATAAAATATTTGCTCCCAGGGATACCTGCTTTGATTACTCCTCAGTGAATACAATGATGAGCTCTGAGAGCTGTCCTCATCCTCTCCTTCATGGTCACTTTCACTTTGACAATGCCATGGAGAGTCCCAAAAGTTCTTTCAGGGGAAGCAACCCTCTAAAATCAAGGTCCCTTAAAGTTAATTTTAAGGAAAACAGAGGTGGTGCTCCACAAACCCCACCAAGCACCACAAGGCCATTGCCAGTGTTGGCAACAGGAGGCTTCCTACAATATACCCCTCAGCATATCAGTACTATCCTCTTAGAAGAGAATTCACCACAGGGAGAAAGACCCCTGCTGGGTGCAGATTCTTCTGGAGCTTCTAAGCAAGCATGCCCTTTGTTCCCCAAGCAGAAACGTTTTTCTTTCCCTCCCAAAGAGAGAAGTTTCACTGAAATAGACACTGGTGAAGAAGAAGACTTCTTGGAAATCCCTGGTATAAGGCACAACAGGCAGTTGGATATCAAAGCAAACTGCTTTGGGGATAAACTTAAGGATGGGAACTATGTAACAGAAGATTCTGAAGTCAGTTCTTCTTCACCCAAACATTTAGGTCATAATTGCACTCAAGACATTTACCATGTTGGAAGGGAAATAACAGGGGACAATAATCAAGAAGGTCACAAAATGGAAAACCATTTGTTTTCCCCAGAAATCCATACAAATCCTAGTGATCCTGGTTACTGTCCCACCAGAGAAACCAGCATGTGACTAATTAGGACAGCAATAATGACAAAACTTATTTCTTAAAACTGGAATTAGCAATGCCTATGAAGGGAAGGGAAGGGATGCCTTGAAAGTAAATAAAATATTTTTGCATGGCATGAAGAGTTGCTTAGTTTAAGTACAATTTAATTTAAAAGCAAACTTTTTTTCTAACAAAAGATAAATCAGGAAAAATGCAACAAGAACTGAGTAAAATAAAATGCTCTTTTCAGAGATGATCTTCTGCAATGCTTAACACTGTTAATACTTTCATTTATGGTTGTAAATAATTTAAATTAACTTTTATTTTTTCCTTTTGAATTTCAGAATTTGCACATGAAAGAATGAAATGTTGATTCATATGTTAATAATAGTGTGAAATAAGGTGCTTTGAGTCTGCAAAATGCACATTTTGTAAATAATTTGGATTTGCTGGAACATGTCCAGTTATCAAGGATTTGTAAAAGAAAGTTTCTTGGGGCAGTTACTTCTTTCAAGTCCACTGCCTGGAGGATTTGTATAGACTTATGTTGCAGAATTGCAGCTTATTCTTAGAGCATCTTACTTATCTTGTTTTCTCTTTAAATCCACATCCAATGTATGATATTTGTTTAAGCAAATTGCAGTGTTTTTAAATTTCTTTATGAAGTGAACCATAGCTTCAGTTATTTTTATTTGCATAGATGTTGTGGATGCACTTGCAGCTTCTTGGAAAAAAATTCTTAAGACTGGGCAAGATTTAATGACCAGGAATTGAATTTTTGTTATACCTGCCAAATTGAAAGCAAACAAAAAAAAATTACAAGAAATACAATTATTTTTATGGTAATAAAATGTGCCAAATGACATGAAAATTGATTATTTTATCCTAAGACTTTAACAATGTTGTAATGTTGCACTATTGTTAAAATCTTACTATCTGTAGATTTCTTGTTATTGTATATCTGCTGTTTTCTTTAACAGTAGTGTGTCATTTGCACGTCATTTTTCACCCCAGTTTAGTTACTATTTGGTTTCAGAATGCTGTACCAATATCATTTCATGAATCAAAGAATCGTCACATATGAGAAGTCAGAAAATGTATATTTCAGAGGAGATTATTAAGGTTCACACATAATTATCACCATTTCCATGTAATTATAGCAATTAACACGCAGAAAATGGAATATTTTGAAACCTCCATTGTTCATCTTCATGATCTCTCTCCCATCCAAGCACTCTAGTCAATCTTTTTTTTTCAGATTTCTATAACTAATTCTGCTTAATAAAGATCTAATTATTTTAAAATCACAAAATTCAGTAGGTTTAAACAGCATTTTAACTGCATTACTTTTTTTTTTTTAAAAAAAAAACTTTACATATTTCTCAGTTACACTTATTCTGTAGGGCCAGGGAGCAAAATTGGAATTTTAGGAACTTGTAGGAATTCAGAGGGGGAAATAGAAGAACTATCAGCTAGTAAAACTCACTTAGGTCTGTCATTTTCTCTAAGTCCAGCTTACAACTATGCAGTGTTCTCTTGTGGGATGAAGTAAAGACAGATCCCTGTGTAACTCTAGGAGAAACAAAAGGATATAAATCGAACAAATAACATAATAAACCACATTATGCAAATGAGAAGATATCTTCTGTGGCTCAATAGATCTCTTTAGAATTATATATCAATTTTTCCTAATGACAATAGGCAAGTGACACATTTTCAAATAAAATATAGGATTGCAGCCCTCCACCCATGTTACTTTCTGAGAATGACCAATCCAAAGCTTTTTTTATGTTTAAACAATGCATGATACGAAAGGCCCATACATGGCTTTGAAAAGTGCCAACCCGTGTTCTTCTTTCCAGTTAAAAGAATATTTTTAAAGCACATGAAGCACTGAGGAAAAACATCTATTGCTGATTTTTTGTATAGATAAACAAAACTCCAAATATTCCCTAAACTTTTTTAAAACACAATTTTTATTTTGTTATTTGCACCAAAAACGCTTTTAGTGGAGAAAATACAGCTCATGAATTTTACTTCTCCTAAATACAGTTCCACAACTGTAAACTTATATTTCACACTGTGGACCAAATATTAAGCACAGGATATTATCTGTTTCAAAAAAAATGTTGTTTTGAGTTCCTCTTAAGATTTCCTTTTTCTATTAAATTATATATCTTCAGATTCATATTTCATTAATTTAAATACTGGGGCTAAATGTCGTTTCTAAAGCAGCCCGTGTCTGGTCATTAAGTCTCAAAGTATTTATTAGTTCTTCATGAAAATCAAATTAGTTTTATTTTTGCATAAGATTTGACTTAATTGCATGGCAATCCACATGATCTAATTCATTTTTTTTTCATAAAGCTCCTTTATTTGTTTTTTTCTTTCACAGTTAGATATTCCCATTAATGGAGAGCAAATGCTAGCTAATACTTTTTAGAGATGTTGTTTTATTATTCCAGTTTATTTGTTTGTTTATGTCCCGCATACATTCTGCCTTTATTTAGACAGTTGTGTAACAGTCAAAAATAAAGGCTAAATGAAATATTAACCTTAGATTAAAGCAGCTTGCTCAGTAATTTCAATGAAATCATGATTTCCTTCATAATGTCTACTCAAAGAAAACTCTTAGGAACTACCATAACTTCTGAGATCTAAAAATCTAAAGTCCAAAAATGAAAAGTTGTGTTTCTCCGATTGAATGATAAATATCTTTATCTTTATAGTCCTGATATTGTATCACATAACATGGACATTTTAAGTTGCTATCTTATAGATCAAAAAAAGAAGCTCATGTATTTCTTTAGATGCATTGAAATATTGTAATCTGTTTCCCATACCAAGTCGGTTCAACTATTGTTTCAAAACCATCTGCTACTGAAAATATAGTTTTTAAAATCTTATTTCAAATATGTTTGCAAAGTAATTCAATTGCTGTTACTGAAAGCTGATAATCTGCTTAGGAAAAAATTGAAAATTTATGAATTGCTCTTATAATAGTGGTAAAATAAAAGATGCTTCTTTCATTCTGTAGAGATGCTACTAAATGCCATGTGCTCTCATTCTAAAGCAAGTGTTAGAACTAGCACCTAATTAAAACAGTGACTGATTTTAAGGCAGAAATACAGGATCTATGACTTTCCTATCTGCTGAATTTAAATTCTCAGTTCTTTATTTTTGGCCAGAATGGCTAGAATTGCTGAAATTGTCCAGTTTCCCCACCACCACCACCCCAAAAAAAGTAATTTGGCCTGATGATACAGAATGGCCACTAAGAAAATATAGATTGTTGACTTAATTGTTTTATTTTCACAATCACAAGCTTATGAAATACATTAATGATGAGCCCAAAGTTATTAAATGGATAGAATCCTGTGGAGGGGCTTGAATCCAAATTTGTCCCACTCTATACGAGCTAGCTAGCTAGCTAACCAACCAAGTAACCAACTAACTAGCAAACCCTAACATTTTTCATTCCCTATTGTCTAAAATAGAAAATTCTCAACATATTCACCCAGAAAACTTTTGATCGATTTGGATATTTGTGTTCCATAATCAATCAGTCAATGAATCAATCACATGTGTAGCAAATATCTTAATTCACGAAGGTTCATTTTTCATTTTTATTTCAAAAGCAAGCCACATTAAGCTGGGGGGGGGGAAAAGAATAGAATGTTTTCTTCCTTTTAAAGTATAGGATATTTATCATAGGAAGTGATTGTAGTAGTATTCAGCTATGATGGATGGATATCTGTTTTTCTCGTTTAATTATGCTGTAATTCTGTAAAATATTTGATCTTGAGGAAATTGCTGAGCCAAAGCCAGTATGAAAAAAAGCAGAAAGAAAAATAGAATTCTTGTGAGTATGCGTAACATGTTTAATTTTTTAAATATATTTGCTTGTTACTTATTGTAGTAAAGAGCAATATTATTATTTTTTCATTCCAATCCTCTTACATATCATACATATTATAATTGAAACCACCCTTTTAAAAATATTAATTAATTACAGTGGTATATGCTTGGCCATTCAGGTTCATTCTTCTAGCCAAGTTCAGCTGAAGTCAATGGTCAAAAGAAAGAACAAATAAAAGTATCATATGTATTATGTTTATGTGAATAAATAGATATGTCCACTTCATAGCAAATTTTCAAGGAAGGGAAACAAAAATTAAGTATAATAAAAATGTTTACAATCTGGTCTTAAGCATTTCCCTTCTACTCTAAAAAAAGGTAAAAGCAGTTTCCCCATTCTTCACATTCCACCGTTATATTGACAGGCTTCTCAAACTGTCAGTCTAGCTCATTTCTCAGTAACAACCATAGTTGTGCAAAGTAGAAATCAGTGACCCTTCAGATGTTGCTGATACAATCGCCAGCAACTCTCACGAGGCCAGGTTGGCTTGGGTTGTTGAGAGCTGCAGTACTGGATTGGTCAAGTTCCCCAGCTTATTTCTTGCTACTACATAGTAGAAGATAGAAAAACAACGGTGGATTATGCAGTTCCTCCCCAACCTGGTGTCCTTTATAATCCAGTTTATTGCTCATCCACATAGAAAGGAAACCCTGACATTGGATTTACAGTAATATTCTACAAAATGTACTCCCAGACATAAATGCTGCTCAAAAAACCACTGCTCTTATCCTCAAAACTGATTAGGAAGGGTCTGGTGCAGCTAGGTGAAAAACTGCCATACCTGCATGGAAAATATCTTTTGCTCACACCTATGGCAGGAAAAAAGCTTATGGTAGTTTTTTTAATTATTATTATTCATCCAGTCCAGAGCACTAAAAAAAATTGCATCCCAAGTCCCTGGATGTGGAAGAGAGATTGAGACTTACACTTCTTTATATTCTCAGCAAAATATGCAAATCTCACCCACAGACATGATATACAAGTCAGTAATGATTATGCTAGTGATTAAATACTTACGGATAAGTTTCCTGAAAAAAATATTGCTTATTACATTGAAATAACTGTACACAAATATTAAATGATGAAATACGGTCTCATGTTTATAGGTA